GTTGCATGAGTCCCTAGTAAAATGATTTTTTTAAAAGAACCCCTGAAGCCTAAAGCATTCCCACTCTGACACACTCTGCAAGACCAGGGATCAACTAAAGGCTGAGATAGCAAGGAAGGCCCATCAGTAAATGTTAGAAAGTTAGGGTCCAGTGTCATCACTGCTCCCAGCCCTAAGAAGAGCAAGACATTTGGGTCATCAAACTCAATATAGACCAACTCTTTTATGCCAGCGAACCAGTGAACTGACTTAGCCTGGAACTCTGGGTCAACTCATTGTTCCTGACGCTTATGGATATGCAAAAGAAACAGTCACATTATAATTACACAGGTATGAATGTATGAAAAAGTAAAACTCTTGTCCTCAGATTTCTTAAGCAAGTAAATAAATCCATGGCTTCAAAAGAATTTAAAAATTTAAAGACTATGTTGGGAAGTGATTAAAGCAAAGCTACAAAACTCATCATTAAAAGACAGAGAGTTTCCTGGTCTCTGCATAAGTATAAGTATAAAAGCAAAAGTATAAAACTGATCTAAATGAATTCCAGACTCCGAAATTACAGTTTACTCCCCAAATCACAGGTCTTCTAAGGGACAGGTTTTAGTTTCTCTGTAACACAAATTCTAGCCTATAAGTCTTGTCTGCAAGAAGGCCTTTTCCTCTGGGTGGCTTGCCTACATATATACTGGCTGAGATAGATAGATAGATAGATAGATAGATAGATAGATAGATAGATAGATAGATAGATAGATAGATAGATAGATAGATATAGATATATAGATATAGGTATAGATAGATAGATATAGATATATATCACACAGACAGCAGCTTCTCTGCTTTAATCAAGAGTGTAAATTAGCAGTGCCTCGTTAACAAAACGAGGCACCAAAATCAAGTGCAATCACCTCCAAAAAGTATCTTTTGGGCATGTTGGCCAGTTAACTGACTTAGCCTTGAACTCTGGATCGCCTCATTGTAAAAATTAAGTCTTTCTTGGGGTAGAAAAAAAAAAGCTATTTTTTAGAATAAATTTCTTCTCATATCTACTGACAACTCTATAGCATTTAAAACTACATAAATTTATAAACCAGAATAAGCATTTGGCTATGAGCAAAGAATGTCTTTAAAAATTCCATTAAGTATCTTCACAAAACATTTTGGGGAGTATTTGTTACTTTTGTCTAATCTCTTTTGGCGGAGTTAGTTGCCCAAAGTTTAGTACTCTATTCCTCTTAACTAACAAATAAATTAAGACCTATGGGATAATTATTTCATTTGTATTTATTTCAAAGAAAAAAAATTGAAAAGGTTACTTCCTTGGAAACCCGGCGGGATAATTCTACTCTGTCCTACAGCATTGCTGTGAACTGGATTCTACTCTATGGCAAGGGGGATGGTATTTTTATTGTGGTTTCATGCTCATTCAGTGGCCTCAAATTTCAAAGTTATGCAAGAGCATACTGGAATCCATGACGACTCTTTTTTTAAAGACTTCCAAAGAAAATTATAGTATTTCCTCCGGAAGTGAGGATTTGAGACTTTTACAACTAAAGAGTGTGTATTCATGGCAATAAAAACAAATAAATATTGAATTACAATAGGTGATTGCTAAGACTGACAACTGACCACTCTCCTGGAATATATCATTGCTAAACCAAACGAAAACTCACTGCCATTGAGTCCATGGGGACTCACGGTCACCATATAGGACAAGGTAGAAATACTTCTGTGGGCTTCTGAGACTATAACTCTTCATGGGAGTAGAAAGCCTCATCTTTCTCTGCCACGTGGAGAGTGGTTTCGAAATGCTGGCCTTGTGGTCAGCAGCCCAACAGACAGCCCAGTACACCACAAGGGCTCCTACAACTCATTTACTCACAATTTGTCCTTATTTTTCTTTGAAGCAGTCACGGTCACACTTATTCCCAAGCCCTTTGTTGTTAACAAATCTCCTTCCAGTAAGTCAAACCACTTGTCCCAGAGCGTGTCCTGACTCCCAGTGAGCCCTGTGGGTCAAAGTGGGACACTGGTTTTCGGTGGCTGCTTTTCTAGAAATAGATCTTTAGGCCCTTTCTTCTGAGGATGCCTCCAGGAACTCAAACCTCTAACTTTGCTGTGAGGAGCCAAGTGTGCTCACCTTTTGTACCACCCAACAGGCTCCCCCACCACCACCCCTGATAGGATCGGAAACTGACAAATGCTTGTTTTCCAACCGACGCCCTTGCAATGCAGTTGGAGCCACTGATCTGTAAAAGGAAGTCTGATGGTTGGTCTCTGAGACATATTTTACTTCGTGACACAAAAAGAAATGAAAAACACCCTACCCACGAATGACCAAAGACCAGACGAGTTGTGGGATGACATCAGGAACATCAAACACGAAGAAGACAAAAAGAGAAGAGAGAAAAAAGAGACCAAAGCAGGTGTCAAAGGAGACTGTGCAACTTGCTCTTGAAAGTCAAATCACTAAAGCAACTAGAAAACCAGTCTGCGGTCAAAGGACTAAACAGAACATTTCCAAGGGCGGCTGGCGAAGACCAAGTACAGCATTCCAACGGAATGAGCCAAGACCTGGAGGAGGACCCCAAAAGGGAGGAACACCCTTCACATGTCGCAAACTGAAACCAACTGAAGGAAAATGTCAAGCCTCAAGCTGCATGGCTGAAAAAGCCTATGGAAAAATAATAAACGATGCCGAAAGCATCAAAAGAAGATGAAAACTATATTCAGAGTCAATATACCAAAAAGAATTGGTTGACATTCAACCATATCAAGAGGTTGTATGTGATGTGATCAAGAACCAATGGAACTGAAGGAAGGCATTCGCAAAAACAAAGCTCTGGGAATTGACAGAAGGACTATTTTAATGTTTCAACAATATGGTACAGTGCATGAAGGACCTCCTAGTCTATGCCAAGAAATCTGGAGGAACTTGGTCAGCCATCAGGAAGAGATTCATAGTTTGCCTATCCCAACTAAATTCCGGGGAAAATGAATAATATCAATAATATCACATGCAAGAAAAATTTTGCCGAGAATAACTTTTAAAAATGGTTCAGAGAGCTTTCAGAAATTCAGCTGGATTCAGAAGAGGATGCGGAATGAGAAATATCTTTGCTGATAGCAGATGAATCTTAGCTAAAGGCAGAGAACCCTGGAGAGATGCTTACTAGTGTTTCATTGACTATGCAAAGGCATTCAACTGTGTGGATCATGACTGTGGAGAATATTGCAAAGAATGGATATTCCAGAATGCTTAATTGTGCTCATGAGGAGTCTGTACCCAGACCAAGAGGCAGTTGTTGGAGCATAACAAAGGAATATTGAATGTTTCAAATCAGAAAAGCTGTCCAACAGGGCTTTATCTTTTCACCATACTTATTCAATCAACTTATTCAATCTGTATGCTGAGCAAGTAATACAAGAAGATGGACCACATGAAGCAAAGGGTGGCACAAGCCTGGAAGAAGGCTAATTAACTAGTGATAGATGACTCAGCCTTTCTTGCTAAAAGCCAAGGGGACTTGAAACACTTACTGATGAAGATGAAAGGCTATAAACATCAGTACGGATTACTCCTCATAATTCAAAAAGCATAAAACGAAATTTCTCACAACTGGACCGATCAATGCTCATGGAAGCAGCAGTCAAGAAATCAAATGATGTATTGCACTGAGCCAAGCAGCTGCATATGATCTATTAAAAGTGTTTAAGAGTAAAGATAGCACTTGGTGCATTAAGGTGCAACTGACTCAAGCCAGGATATTTTCAATTGCCTTGTATGCGTGTGTAAGATGGGCAGTGAAAAAGGAAGACCACAAAAGAATTGGTGCATTTAGATGATGGCGCTGGAGAGTATTGAAAGTGTCACGGACTGGCAGAAGAACAAACAGATCTGTCTTGGAAGAAGTACAACCAGAATGTTCTTTAGTAGCAAAGATGGTGAAACTTTGCCTCCTGTGCTTTGAACATTTATCAGGAGAGACCAATCCCTGAGAAAGAACATCATGCTTCATTAAGCAGAAGGGCGTTGGGAAAGAGAGGGACTCCCAAGAAGATAGATGGACACAGTGGACTCAAACATAAGAGCAATCGTGAGAATGGCCCGTGACTGGGCAGTGTTTTCTTCTGTTATGCACAGAGCCACTGTGAGTCAGAGCCGGCCCAGCGGCACCTAAAACACAACACCCACTCACTCTTAGCTTTCTTCCAACCTTGGCCTTCCAGAGCCAAGAACAGACTGCCAACATCTGAAGATAGTGAATCAGAACAAAAGAAAGCATTTGGGACTTTGATCTCTGAGCTCTGCTTTAACCTTGCAGCCACCTGCCTGCAGGCCTCTTACTATGTGAAACTGTTTAAAGTCTTTTCTATTCCGATCCCTGCTCTGCGCCCAACAGCTGCTGCAGGCTCTCCTGGAAGCAAAGGTTTGAATGCATTGCTGGAGAGGGAAAGAAGGGAGGTGGGAAAGAGACTTGTTGGAAGTGTCAGTAACAAGAACAGATGCTTTCTCTCTTGCCGATGATAGCAAAGTTCTTAATGGAAGATGATTCCAATCAATAGCGCCACACAGCTGATTTATATAATGGAATCAAGCTGAAGAAGTGGTCTCTCTCTGCCTCCCATCCTAGTGATGTGAAAGGGAAAAGAGCTAATAGATTAACGTAAAGAGGGGACTCCACAAGTATAGATGCTGGTGTTCGCAGGCACAAACCACAGGAGAGCTCCGGAGAGCAGGCTGCTGGAGGCTGGATGCTGACAGTGACAGTGAGGCCGGTGACAGCAGCTGCTGTTGCCGCCGCTCCGCCGATAACTCAGTGAGGGGTCTGACCCCTTGGGGTGTGCTTGCTCCCAGAAGCCTGGGTGCTGGCTGTGGAATGAGCAGTTAAGGCTGTGGGGTGGCCAGGACTCACCACGAGCTGCAAGCCAAAGGAGAAATCAGGGAGCGAAAGGAGAGAGCGTGTGATCTCAAGCTCCCTGGAGCCAAGTGGAACAAGGAAATGTCCTCCCTGGTCAAGGAGGATCTGGAGAAGAAACTGTTCCAGCCGCTCGCACAGAATCTGCGCGAGTTCATCGAAATCGAGTTCCCAGTCCAGGACAGGTATTACCTCTGCGTTTCAGGTAATCGATCCTCTGTGATTTCAAAGAGCCAACGGCTCGGAGACGCTTGGGTGAGAGGGGGGCTTTTTGCAGATCTCTTTCTATTCGATCACAGCACGTGCACCTTCCTGTGACTGAGCTTAGCTAGGCGGGTTTGAGAACTTGGAAAGCCACACAAAATGAGGGTAAGGGGAAACACGGTATTAAGACTACGTTGGTTAATGATTCAGAAATGCCAGTGGGTCTGTACTTGTCTCTAATTTGATTTTGTCTCCAATCTTGTACCGTGTAAGAGCTCAGTTTTTAAAAATTCAACAGAAAGCTCTCTGTATTATTTTTAAATTCACCAGACAAATTGAGTTATACCGCTCTCTTTCCAACCAGTCTGGACAACGGGGGCTGGCTCATGCGATGCTAAGGAAGAAACAAGGCCTTCGGTCTTCTTCTGGAGGGCTTCCTTAGCTTGCCTGGGGATTTATTTGGGGAAGAGAAATGATCTTTTCAAAATTCTTTCTTACAAGAAGCATGCTCACACACACACAAAACAAACAAACAAACCCCGAATAGTAGAAAGGAGGAATTAACTCCTGTGGCCTCAGTGCTGACTGTCTCAGGTGGAGGCTTTCCACTCCATAAAGCGTTACCATCTCAGAAACCCATGGGGCTACTCTGTCTGTCCCACATGGGCTGTCTGTTCTATTCTGTCCTACACAGTCGCCCTGAGTCCGTGTCAATTTGATGGCTGTGAATGAGACATCTGGGCCAATGTTTCCTTGTTAGATCTGTATTAAGAAAAGCAATAAGCACCCAAATATGATCGGTAACATATTCTAAATAAATGAAATAGAAGATGGAGTTAAAATATATACACAATGAAGAATGGCTATATCAAACATACTCTGCGTGGATCTTTAAGGAGCAGAGAAACTTCTTAAGATAACACAGATTTGCCACTCATGATTCTAAAATTTCAAAGAAGTTTTTCAAAGGTAGGGATGGGCTTTTGCATTAATTATGGATTACCTGACCTATGGTTTCGGAGCTGACTTTAGTTAGGAGTGTTTGTGCTGTGATTAAATTGAGCGCCCGGCACTTCTCTGACCCACTCCAAACCCTCTGGTACTTTGCAGGGTGCCTTTTCCAGGCGTGCAACTTCTGCAGAAGACCACTTGTTATGATTCCCAATCTGATAACTGGCCAAAAAAAGGACTTTCTAAAATTTAACAGAGGTACTATAAGGGAAGTGGAGCATTTTTACAAAATGTGCAAAGATATTTTTAGGAAACGATCTTTCCTTATAAGGATAACAATGTTTACTCACCCTTTCTTCAATACTTTACCTAGCACATTTTGTTACATGATTGCAAAGTGTGCAAACTTGGCATTCAGCGTTGTAAATAACGTAATTGGTCCTCCAAAAATCAAAGAAGGTTATGATGCGAACAGGTCAAGTAAAATAGCTAAAGTAAGAAATGGTACTGGATTCTAACTATCAAATCACTATACCTTAAAATAGCTATAATGTATTGGAAAACCTTCTTCTTCTAAAGTGAAAATTGGATAATTGTGTTTCTTGGACTCCTCACTTAATAAAGGTAATTTTTCATTGTAGCATGATTTTATAAGTATTTCTAAAGAAAATCTTATGAAATAATAATCATAATAATGTAATATTTAATTCTGCAAATATAGTTTAGGGCCATTTTTCAATTTACATAATTAAATTTAGTCTGTATGTGTCAGAATCAACTAGATGGCAATGGCGTTGGCTTTGGGGTATCACACACACACACACACACACGTTTCCTACAATTACATTTTTGGAAATGAATGTGATTTTTTTCCCACTGTATCCCCCCAAATTCAGAGAAGCGTCATCTGCCTCCTTTTCTCATGAGTGAGATGAATTCTTTCCATTAACATGGAGGCTAGAAAGGAACTGGCATCGCTAATAGGTGTGAAGGCTTCAATGGTCTCAGCTGGAAAATGACTCGGTAAAGGAGGTGATTACTTAGGGACACTTTCATCAGCACAATTCTATAATTCGATCATGGTAGATCCCCGTAGAAGCAGATCCCCGTAGAAGCAGGAAGAAGAAAGCAATAGTGTGATATTGAAGATGAAAGTGGATAATGTGAACCATGCCAGTGGAATTCTTTGTGTGACTCTCTTCTATGTCCTAATCCTCAATTTCAGGGCACACACCCACACATAACACCTTTTTACGGCGACTGCAAACACATTTGACAGAGCATAATTTGAACTAAAGTAAATGCGATGCTAGGCAGTCCTAAATCTTTGACCATTGTTTGCTCATGAAATTTTCATCCAAGTAACTCAAACAGGCCACATCTTACTAGCTGAGTAGGCGACTCCATGCTCCTAGCTCATGTACAGTGAGCATAGTTGGAGAGGAAGGAGTTGAATTGTGTGGTGTCCTGTATGCCCCCACAATCTGATAGCACCAATTTCTGAGGAGCACAGGTCCAGAGCAGTCAGAATTCCATCATAGATTTTCCAAATTTAGGAAGCAATATTTAAATGGGAGTAAACTTTTTTAAACCAGTATCTGTCTTTTGCAGACTCTTATGTTCAAAGGACTTACAGTAAAGTACTGATTTACTGTAAAGTATTGAAGATCAACTTGGCCAATGTAAAAAATCAGAAGTCATAAACTCAATCTCCCTTTCTATAGGTTGCTAGGATTTCCATTGGGATTGGAAGGAACAATGTTAGAATAACCAGGGGGCTCTGCAAGTGTATGTGTTGCTCTTCACAGATATTAGGAATATTCTTATTTATTATTCAGAATGAAACTGGATCTGTACTTTCTCTAAGTTGATTATGTTGTCATAACTCCTGACTTAACTCATTTATGGCATGCCAGTTTATTGTGTGAGAGGTCATTTTTAAAATTCAACAGAAATCTGTTTGTTTTTTAAATTCATCGCCATTGCCTTCCCTGGACAATGAGACTTCACTTTTCTCCCGCCTCCTCCGGGTTTCATTATCATTGGCAGTCAAATGCAGCTGCTATGAAGGAGGGGTAAAAGCTCTGCTGTGTGGAGGACAAAGGAAGGAAAAAGCCACTCTTTCGATAATTAGTGTGTAGATAAACTAAAGACATTCTGGAAGACTTGAAATTAAAGCATTAATCAAAACTGTATGAGAAGCAGTAGAACGCAATAGAATGGACCGTGGGCTGAGACAAATTAGTATGAAGCTTGACCCTGTGTGATTTACCTAGGGTTGTTGAAGTATCTAGTAGTTAGTTCTCCCCATAACAATTCCATGTGACAAAGAACTGACACACGGTTTTTTTTAACATTATTATTTCTGTTTATTTCATAATCAGTATGCCATTGTTTACCACTACGGCTGTGAATTCCCTTTCTGCCCATCATGGTTCAAAGAGCCGTTTACTACATGCCTTAATAAAACACTTAAAATAGTTACATTTTCAAAATAATGCTTAATAAATGAAGAAAATTGACCTGAGAACTCATGATAACATTGCCTTTGTCTGATTCTTTTTTTTCTCCTCAAGTTGTTAATGTGATCTGCGTGCAAGTTGTATCATCATCTATTGGAATAAACATATTTGCTTATTTGTAATTAGTTAAACATTAAGCTGTAGTCAATGGACTTTTATTTTCATGGGAACAAATACCCAAACTCACTGCTATCCAGTCGATTCCAACTCATAGTGACCCTGTCGGACGGGGTGGAACTGCTCCCTGTGGATTTCCGAGACTGGAATTCTTTACGGGAGTAGAAAGCCATCTCTTTCTTCTGAGAAGAGGCTAGTGGCTTTGAGGTTAGCAGCCTAAGGGGCAAACCCCAGGGCTCCTTATGGGAACAAAGGTTGTTGACTTTGTTATTAGGTGCCGTCAAGTCGGTTCCCACTCAGAGTAACACTGCTTACAACAGAACAAACCACTGCCTGGTGTTGTGCCATCCTCACAATTGGGCTTATGTTTGAGCCCATCGAGGCAGCCACTGGCAGTCCGTCTTGTCCGAAGCCTTCCTCTTTTTCACTGCCTGCCTACGTTACCAAGCACGATGTCCTTCCTCTTCACTCTTGCCTCCAAGGAGGCTCCTCTAGGACAGGCTTGTTTCTCCTTGTGGCAGCCCACGGTGCTCTCACTGTTCTTCTCCAGCCCCGCCACGCAAGTGCCTCAGGTCTTCTGCAGCTTCCTTATTCAGGGTCCAACTTTCACGTGCGTCTGAGGTGATGGAAAACATCATGTCTTGGGTCAGGCACACCCTAGTCCTCAAAGTCACATCCTGGCTTTTCAATGCTTTAAAGAGATCATGTGCAGCAGACCTACCCAAATGGCCTGGGACAAATAGCCAGGTCTTTTTTCTGTGGCGCTATGGGTGGGTTCCAACCACAAACCTTTTGGTTAGTTGTCAAATGCATAACCTGTGTGCTCACCGACTCCTTTTTGCCTGCTACCAGCTGATCAATTTGTTGGCATTTCTGAAATGAAATAGCACCCATTTCTATGCACAATGTTTCCTGTTAACAGCCTAGTGGAAATGAATAATCTTACTTATAGTCCAAACCACTAAAAGGTAGAGTTTTATTTGAAAAATGCATGGTAACTTATAATGTTAATGAAGAATGACCATATTATGAACAGGTAAAATTATATATATATATATATATATTCAGACTTAAATTATTATATATCTTTTGAAAAATATTTTGCATTCATAGACATTAGCTTGAAAGTAAACAATACTTGCTAGAGATGAAAACATCAAATGTAAGTTCTCTATGCTTTTCACTTTGGATGGGAGAAAAGATATCCTCTATAAACCAGAAAATCTAATCACTTTATTAAATTATTTTCAATAATGCTAATTGTGTCAAATAAGAATAATTACAACAACAATAAAAGGAGACTGTGAAAAGTAATTTCAAAGGCCTCATTTGGAGTCATGTTACTGGATTGATGAAATACATGAGGGAGTACGCCCCCCCAAAATGGAATTTGTTTTCAAAGTTATGTATT